GCGGTCTAGTGGATAACACTTTGGAGTTTGAAACGATGGACACTGGGTTCGAGCCTCAGTGAGATTATTATCATTCACTGGGGAATGCAGGTACATCCGCCAGATGACGAATCCCAAATAGAACGGATTGCGGATCATGGATTGCACTACTAGTCACCACCCACCAAAATACTTCAATTTACGCCCTCAGAAACCGTTGAAGAATCCGCACCAGGAGTCGACATGTCAACAAACACGGGCCGAACACTTCGGTCAAATCAATCAACGGGGAAGTCCACATTGAATTAAATACTAATAACACAAACAGCTTTATTCTATAAAAAATTCTATTCATATGCAATACTGAATTTCCAGAGTCATTATTGCAACATATTTACTCCTCGCACAGAAACTACTAACAATGCAACACTCAGTAACATATCAACTGAAGCATTATTGTGCCATCCAATAATTCGTGTAGATTTCGTTGCATTCTTTCAATCAGAAAATTCATACCAGTAGGTTGAAACCTATTTAAAAGTGTGTCTGATTATAAATTGTGATTCTAGACGTCATTGGATGATTTAAACAATACAAAATGTGAAGTAAATACTATGCATTTATATGAACAGGAAATCTAGGTAACCCAGAGATTTTTATTTAAGCAGGCCCCCATACCAACCCACATTTTAGTTAGTAATTAGTCTTACGCATGAATCAAATTTCCGATTTGCTATTTACACAGTTCGGGGTGAAATTCAACCACAGCTTCCTTCGGACACCGAAACGGTCTTCCGATCTTCAGATCCCCTCAATCTGGCTAGTATGCACTACTGGTTGATGTGAGCTGTGCCCAGCTACTCATGTCAGCCAATCAGTAGTATATAGAGTTGTACATTTGAATCTCTAGCCTAAAGCTTATATCTCTGAATGTTATAATTTTACGATACTAAGTCATGATGAGTGCTGGATTCGAGTCCCACTGGGTGTATCATTGATAGACAAACCGAACAGATAATATCAGAATGAAATGTAATAAATAATAATAATAAATAAATAGCTTCACTCTGAAGAAAATGTGTACACAGCGTGCTGAATTCTGAGTGTGATTTATTGCACAATATTTACTCCTCATCCAGGACCTCGAAGTAAAGTAGCAATCTGTATTATATCACTTGACGTAATACTTTTAGATGTGAAGAGCAGACTATAATCCCTTATGATATTTTTTTACCTTCGTCTCTGCAAAATGCACACCAGTAGTTTGAAAGCCATTTGAAAAATATGCGTTGAGTACATTTTGCGACTTGATTAAATGCTTAAAACAATAAAAATTAAGAGAAGACAATGGATAGTGATTCAAACAGGCCGCCTCAACCATGATGATGATGTCAAGAATGCCCAGTATACACTAAAAGTCACCGATCCATTCACAATTAAATAATATTACATATGAACTGTGATCAAGATTTGACCGGATAGTTGCAAAATAATTGAGCGCTGAGTGAGAAGTAGACATTTATAAAATTATATTTGCAAACTCCCAGCGAAATTGAAATGATTAATTCCAACGTTTCCCGTGTTCGGCAATCTGGTCCGAACCGAACTTCTTCAGGGAAATTAATCGAAATTAACATAACAGAGGTTTGTATATAAAAGGAACAACTCTTGTTTTTAAACTTTGTCCAATCATGAACCATGCTCATTACTGGTGAAGGTTAAGGATAAAATCGAACAAGAAAACCAGCAGAATTGCGTATACCAGACCAATTGTGGAGATTGTAACGCCGTATATGTAGGAGAAACTGTTGCTGCTATATTTTGACTGAACTAGCGTATACACATATCCTAATACTTCCTCACGTTTTTAATTGTGCCCTAACGTTGCGATTACTCGACATCCGCAACGTAATTCAAAAGGCACTTGCGAAGGAATACGATAGTGTATTATTGCAGCAATCAACAATTCAAAAATCGAGCGAGTACCAAAAGGAATCAATTTTTAACATGCAAGATTTAGAGTAATAAATAAATGAAAGTACAATTACACAATGAAAGTATAGTACGATTATGAGTAATAAAACGGGTCACTACAATAGCCCCTCCGTAGAATGCAGGTAAATGAAGTTTACCTGTATTCGGAATGATATTGTATATTATAATTACAGGAGAAATATATACGAGTTTTTGGCATGAAAACCGAATTGAGGATTTTAAGTTTTTGAGGTTTGATAATATAACTGTATATATGCAAAAATGTTAACAACTTCGAAACGAACCGAAATGTTTAGAAAGTTGTGCAAAATGTAACAATAAAAGCAGAAAAATTATTATTAGAATAATAATGAGGTTTTTATTGTAAGGAGTTACAGAATAGATTTATATCTTACGTGCAGTTAATAGTACGTAATAAGGTAGTATGGAAATGACTTGGGTAAACATTCAGTTACCTCTGTTTCCATGAAAGCTGGTTGTACAAGTGGAATTGTACAAGAAGAGATGGCTGTGCCAGAGAAGAGTGCAGCAGTAGCTGCTGCTGATACGGTTGAAAGTGAACGTCCGTCAGTGTGTTGTTGTTGTTGCTGGGGTGTTTTTACTCGGCGTTGAGGAGTAACTTGAATTGATGTTTGCTGAGGTTGGAGAGTAGAAGTTGGTTGATTGATAGGCATTCCAGCAAGAGCAGTTGGCACAAGCTGTGGTAAACCAGTGGTTTGAATCAATTGACCGTTAGGAACAACAGCCATGACTTTTAATGGAGCTCCTGGTGCCAGAATGATAAACTGGGGAGTAGCATAGGAGCGTGCAGCTACAGTACCAGGTTGACCACTGACAGGGACGTCAGTTGCCATCATTGTTGGTTGTTGCTGATGTTGTTGGATATAAGTTTGCTGTTGAGCTGGTTGTAACTGATGAGCTTGTGCTTGAATCTGTTGTTGTTGTTGAGGTGATTGGGTAAACTGTTGTAATTGAACAGTTGTAGGACCGGCTTGAGTAAATGGAGTTGCAGACCATTGTAAGAGTGTTTGCACAACTGTAGACAATGCTGAAGCTTGAGGACAGAGAACTGGAATTGAGGTGTTGCATAACAGCCAGCTGCTACAGTTGCTTGAGTATCAGGGTGAACTGGGATAGCAGTCGCTGTGCCGCCAGGTCCGGAGGTACTTTTAGCAGAAATATCAATAATTATACATCCAAATGTTATGAAGTTATAAAAGTTAATGCGATGGCAAAGATGATTTATTACACTGTGTATACTTCGAAATAATGTAGTCCATCAATCAGCTATGTCGGGCTCGCCAATTTGTTGCTGCTATATTTTGACTGAACTAGCGTATACACATATCCTAATACTTCCTCACGTTTTTAATTGTGCCCTAACGTTGCGATTACTCGACATCCGCAACGTAATTCAAAAGGCACTTGCGAAGGAATACGATAGTGTATTATTGCAGCAATCAACAATTCAAAAATCGAGCGAGTACCAAAAGGAATCAATTTTTAACATGCAAGATTTAGAGTAATAAATAAATGAAAGTACAATTACACAATGAAAGTATAGTACGATTATGAGTAATAAAACGGGTCACTACAAAACTTCCAGACAGGTAAATATAAGAGTGAAAGAGCATAAACAATGTCTAAAGACGGTTCCAAAGACCTCTACAGACTTGAAGAAGCTAGAAAACAACTCAGCGATTGCACTGCATTTGATAGAAACGGGACACAAAATCGACTTTGATAAGACTAAGGTTTTACAGAAAGGTTTTGATTCATATAAAGAAAGACTGTCTGCAGAAGTCCTACATATATGGGTGAATCCCAACAGTTTGAACAGACGTGAAGGTGTGATCTTAGCTGATGAATGGTAAATTCTGACTAATAAATAAATTGGATATGTATCAACAACTAGTCACACTAGATCAAATTGCCGATTGTCTACGTCTTCTTATGGAGAGAATAACTATTTTATAAAATTGTATTATATTTGTAAAAAATCTCAATTATTTTGTAACTATCCGGTCAAATCTTGATCACAGCTCATATGAGAATAACAAATGTTTTATGACTGTTCACACACACATACCATTGTATACTGCATATACACATATATTTTAACAAAAGTAGACTAATTTCGAAAGTCTGAGGTCAAATTTTGATCACAGTTCATATAAAAATTTTTGTTTTGTTTATTATACCTATTGATAGCTGTTTCTTGATTCACATGACAGGACAAACAATTTGAAACAAGAGATGTACTCTTATATATAAACATACAATTTTATTTATTTATTATACATGTTGATGCCTGTTGCATGACTCATGATTGGACAAAGTTTTTAAAAACAAGAGTTGTTCCTTTTATATATAAACCTCTGTTATGTTAATTTCGATTAATTTCCCTGAAGAATTTCAGACCAAATTGCCGAACGAAACGTTGGAATTAATCATTTCAATTTCGCTGAGATTTTACAAATATAATTTTATAAAAAAAACAAAACATAACAAACCAAACTATAGAAAATTAATCTGATGCTCGCTAGTGACTTGCTACAGGATGGAGTTTCCTTGAGTTCTAGTGAAAAAGTCGTGACTAGTGAGGTCCAATTAGATATCACGTGTGTGAATGGATGTCCCACCAACGACAATGGTTGGGGTTGCGCTAAATCACGAATTGGTAGAAGTTAGAATTCATGAGCCATTGAATCGGGTCAGAGTAGCTGAATGGTATACGAGCTTGACTTGTAACTGGAAGGTCCTGGGGTTCGAACTCCCCTGTGGTGGGTGCGTACTGCAGATGATCCCCAAACTAGGATGAAACAGCAGCTGTCCAGTACTCCCTGTGGCTGGTTTTCAATGGTTCTCTAACTGATATCAGTCCGTGATCAACTCGTAAAAACATAACAAACCCTTACAAACCAAACTATAGAAAATAATATTAGATTACAAGGAACACTAAATTACTCATTAAACAATATACACTTTTCACCAATTTATCTATATACATATAATGTCTGACTTACTCAGGATATTTCTCTGTGTGTAGAATATAAATTAGATTATTGAAATGTGTAGAGTCTGCATCCAATCCAACACTGTTAGTAGTAGAGATATTATTATTACCATCTAAATTTTTCAATGAATTGTTCATCATTATTGTAGAAGATTGACAAGTATTACTATTATTATTATTGATGTTATTATTACTACTACTACTGGCCATACTGTTCGCTGAACGTTGTAAGTGTATAGGATTATTGATTTCATTATAGTATAATGATGACGATCTCGATAGACCTGGTTGTGTTGGTGACATGATTCTATTATTCTGTGAATTTGTATTAACACCAGATGAAACTGAAAGAAAAGAAGACAAACTTCAGTAGATAAGTTGATGATGATGATTATGGTGTCGAAATTTTCGAAAGTAATTATAATGAATGTGTATTCTGAGCTGACGTACAAATTCAGTTTACGCGTGCTATTATTGTATCGTCAGTAATTCAGTGGTAGAGAAGATATGCTCGCCAACCACGAATGTAGGTCCTGGGATGCGATTCCCGCCTGACGAACGCTTGAAATCTCTCCTAGCTGGTAGCATACGCAAAAAGAGAGAGGAGGTTGTGTGTAAAAACAACACACCACCGCTCCTGAAGCTTCAAAGCTTAAGCATGAAGCCTTTCCTCCACTCAAAACGCAAACGATTAAAAGAGAAATCTGTCTGTCTGTTTTCGACATAGAACTTTGCGGCAGTTCAAGTCGCCACACTCCATGCAGCACACAAAGCAACAGAAGAAATGCATATTAGAGACAGTAAACAGAGGTGTGAGACAAAGGTACAGTAATAACGAAGAACAATATAGTTTAGTTGGAGATCATAAGTCACAAGGAGTGGATGCATCTGCACCAGCCACTGAGAACGATGTTGAGCCATGTCACCAATTGTTTCCAACCTTCATTGGTTTTTACCGTCCCGAGGACCCCAACCAGTCAGGAAGTCTACACCTTACTACGTGGCTGGCTTAAACTAACTGTTGTAGATTTCATTGACTGGTGCCATGTTTTCGTTTGACCGCCGCTAGCTCTTTTCCAGCCTGGCCCTATATCAGCTAACATTGCCCATTGTCGAGGAAGGCGATGACTAGGTATAAGAGAAATAAGCTCAAGCTGTGACCAGGAGGTCACACTATTAAAGAGACACGGTAGATTTAGCATAAAAGAGACGAAATTAGGCTGTTTCGTTTATTTCATCAAGTTAGTGTATCACACATTTGGTTGGTTGGAGCTGAAAAGAAATAAAAATCGAAACTCAGCTATATATTAATATTCCTTCTAAAACAAAAACTTTTCTGAAGTTTGTGATTGGTGTGTTAGCAGTGAAATGATACACCGAATATTCTTGTATTCATGATGCAACAAAATTGGTATTTATGTATTTCCTTCACTGCCTCTATGCTGTGAAGCTCAGATGGCCAGAAAGGATTAGCAATAAAAAAACTCTGGCACCAAACTAACAAAAAATCTATAACTCAATGAATGTGTTGAAGGAAATCCAGGTAGATTGGATACACGCTAAAAAGACCGTTAAAATGAAATCACACACCAGGCCCTAAAGTGAAGCCTGATTGGGTTTGAGAGTGTGACCTGGAGGAGAGAGTGTGAAGAGGCAACAGGAGCCTACACAGCAGTCGTGGATTCAGCCAAAAACAACTTCAGAGAAGAGGGTGAAGTGAGGATGTGTTAATGAAGGTCTGTGCTACACCTAGAACCCAAGGGAATAGTAATAATAAATAATACATACACATAGTGCATCGGTGGCTCAGATGTACAATGATGCTCACCAACCGTGCTCGTGGTCCCGGGTTCGATTCATGGCCGGCACACACACCTTTACCTCCCCTAGTTGGTTGGCTGTAAACCCAAAAAGAGGGAAGGTTGGGTGTGAGGCTAGCAACCCCCCCTTCCCCGCGAAAAAAACACCACTACTACTGAAACTTCAAAGCTCTAGCTTGAAGCCCTATGTTCCACTTGGAGCGCAAAAGGAATATTTCGTGTTCTTTCCACAACAATCTAGACTTCGACATCCAAAATGTCTCCCCTCTTGACTCAACTTCATTGTTTTTTACAAGAGATCCATTTAAAACAAAGTAGATAATTTTAGCCCGTAGATTTTTCATGCATTTCTGAAATAAGTCAGATAATTGTACTGATGTTGCGTGTACAGGCCAGTTACATTGTGGTGAGAGATCGTTGCTAGCCAAATTGGTTGACAGTAATTGAGGTCAAGGTCAAGATGGACAGGCGGATACAGTTAACATATAGATGAACTGACACAGCCACAAGAGATGCAAGGTTAACTTTGTGTGAGAAACAACCAATCAGTAGACTGTATTTTCTACTAACATTAACCTACAATAATGTACATCAAAATCTATAAATACATGTTGATTTTCCGTAATACAGGTTCTGTTGCCTGGCCCTTGTCTTCTGTTGTTACAACATGAGCTATCAAAGATAATTTAAACACACTTTAGTGAGAAAACACACTTGCGTTATTAAAAGTGCAAGTCAGTAGAGATTATGAGTACAATATCTGTTAGAAGATAACCTCTTTAAATGTTGTCCTAGACACAAAAGTATAATCATTTCCAGAAAATTAAAGAAAAATATTGTAAATATGATGGAGAAGATTTGTAGCTCAGGTGGATGATTTTGATGTGGTTGTGTTCTCTGAGCTGGATAGTTAATTTGCAAAGCTTTCATCACCCTACTAGGTGACATCTTCAGCGCATTCTTCAATTCACTGAAGTGAGCTTTTAGATTACTCCACGAGTTTATTAATCATCTCTCCCGGTGACCTTGGACGTGATTGGTTGAATGGTTCAATGAATTGAAGTGTGCGCTGAAGATGTCACCTAGTAGGGTGATGAAAGCTTCGCAAATTAACTATCCAGCTCAGAGAATACAACCACATCAAAAAAAAGATTACCAAACGTCTTATATAATATTTGGTTGTTTCTTTACATTATTTTACAGTATTTGTGTCATAAATATACTACTGAACAATCAACCACTTTTCATGGGATGATGGTGAGATGAGAGACAACTAGAAATTTGTTCAGTGGACTTGTTTGTTGGTACGAAATTTATAATACGCAGGAAAATAATTGAATTACACGACGGAAATGAACAAATGTATAGTTTTTAAGTTCATAATTCAACTAACTAACCACTGCAAAACATGTGTAATGGCTTCCGCAGTTATAGATAGTTCCATAGATGGCGTCGTCAATGGGTCTAAAACGCCATTGTGAAAAGGTGTGGCTTCGAATCCTAACACAATCATGAGCTTTCTCTGTGCAACCTAATGTTTACTTCAGGATGCTACAATGATGAAGCCAGGTCGTCTTTCAGCTTTCTTTTAATCTTTGATACCTGGGCTTACTTTTTTGGTTGGAACCGTATTTTTCAAATTCTGGTGTCTCAGTTATGTTTTTGTTCTTACAGTAAAACTTCTGAGAGGAATTCCATCCAGTGATTGGGGCTTAAAAAAAGATGTTAATGAAGCTTCCCATTGTCGATGAAAGCACTTGATTACAGAGCCTCTACAACACGGTATTATATGGCCACTCAGATGGTGTGAGTGACTAAGGAACTCAAAAGTATTGAGCCGAATAGATGGCTGACGAAATTTCAGCACGGATATAGAGGGCTTGTTTGGCATATGCCAACATACGACATCTCTGACGTAAACATTATATACAGCTGCCAACCAAAGGACGTGTGCACTGCTCAGCAGTTCGCTCCATCTCCCTTTATGGCTGTAAGACATGCCCAGTGAGAGTGGAAGACATGAAAAGGCCGGCTAACTGTCTTTAATCATACGTGGTTCAGTTCTGTCCCCACTGTTAAGCGGAATAATGGGGTGAAAGATATCGAGGTCTTGTCAGAGACTTATAAGCTTCCTCACTACCCCTAAATATACTAGGTGCATTGGGTCAACAGGGAAGCACTCATCCATATCAAGGTTTAATTCCTCAAAAACACACGGTGGTGACGTGAGTGCATCTTTTGACGGAAGCTGTCATCAATCCGAAATTGAAAAATTCCATTTTCGAATGTCATCCTGCAGTCAAGTTTTCTTCCGGAAACGGTGCATTTGTTACAACCTGTGCTGGCATTATCACCTACTATAAATTTCACGTCCGCTCTAGCCGGTGATGCACCATCAAAGATGACGGCTGTCAAACGAACGTGGAAGTGCCTGTTCAGTCTGGTAATGTGTATGTATGCCTTGACTTAATATATCCTTTAGCTCAGATACTAAGTCATTGCATAACTCTTTATAACTGCTCGGTTTGCTAGGACCACCGTATATACCTATCAGGGATACACTACTGAGGAGTGGTGCTGTACTTCTACCTAACAAGGGCCATAGCTGCTGGTTAGAAGACTTAGAGATGGACAATCCGTCGATATTCAACTGCAGATCAATCTTGTTGTAGGGACTTTGAACCACAGACATCTGCATGTAGTGCCCCAATCCTACAAATATGGGGAAAATCATGTTTCAAAAATGGGAAAAATTGAAACATTCCATTGAGAGAATAAGGGGACAAAATTCGGAAATGCGACAATTGTCCAATTTTTCCCAGACGACGCACACTGTCACCATTTTAGACACATTGTCCACTTAATCACCAGAATGTCCCGCTTTTACTCGCATCATTTTTCCCTTATTCTCTTTACATCAAACAACTCACAATGCAAATATATTTTGGTTATCCAAATAAATATATTTAATTTGTGCATTGGTTAAACTAATAAAAGTTAACAACAATTCGGAAAATGAATTCTTTAGGATTAATGAACATTCAAATTTACAAATGATACACACAAGTAATTATAATATATTCTCAGTTTTTACATGAGGGACGCCAGTTTACAGGCTTTATCAATGGAGCACATCAAGACATATGGAAATATTGTCATCGCGTTAACAATAAAAACCCAGTAAGTTTGTTTTGGATGGATTACAAATACTTGGGGAAAAAATGAAGCTTGAAATCATCTGAAGTCTGAATGCAGCTTTACATGTACTCCCTGTCATCAAGTAGATCCATTGAACTATCCTGAAAAGGGAAAAAATTTAGTTAGGTAGTAATCAACGGTGACACTTATACAGACATTTGACATAATAATAATAATGATATATTAAACGTGTTTATTTAGCCATAAAATTTCACTTTATTATTGAGTACAAATCAAATTATTCCTTTACATATAAATACTCACACTGAAAGACCTTCAGTTTCA